GCAATGCGTAGTTCAATTTCTTGACTGCCGCTTCCATGGCAATATGTAAATATAAACAAACACTGACGATCGAAAGTCTACCCTTCATCCGGCAGATGTATGCTGCAGAATGAATTGTCGGACAAACCATTCCAGCAATTCTCTGTGCTGGGTTTTAGGATTTGTCTCTGTGACTGACTCTTGAGTGGTGGCCGGCGGCAGGGGGAGCCCTAAGCTAGGACTAGGGGTGGAGCCGAAGGCAGATCCGGAAGCAGTGCTCAGGGCTGAGCCGCTTTTGCAGATAGGCACAGGTCTCTTCTAGGCTCTGAATTTCCTTTGCAGATATGGAGTGCATGGAAGCGGGACTGAGCCCCAGCGGCCTCTGCTGTCTCAGCCTTATTAGAATGCAGGGGACCCCTCTCTTGAGGGGCCAGAGCTGTGGGCCACTGGCCCGTCTGCTAGGACAGTGTTGTTGTCACCCTGGAGGAAGCTGGGGTCCTGCCCCACGATGTCTCTGTGTCCAAACGGACAGGGTAGAGGTTATGTGTGAGAAAGCCTTTGCAGAGGACTCTGGGGGAACTTCACAGGTACACCCAGCAGGGTGAGGCTGAGAGGGGCAGAGTTATAGGGGTGTCTCTGTAGCACAGGCAAGAAGGTCCCTATCAGCAGGAACACTTTGGGGACAGGAAGGAGTGGAGCCCGGAGGCATGACTGGGTGGTTTCTTCTGTTTGTTTGGTTTTCTTTAATTGTAGCATGTTGTTGTTGTTGTTGTGTGCTGTGGAGTCAGTTCCGACCCATAGCGACCCTGTACAGGGTTTCCGAGGCTGTAAATCTTTATGGGGAGCAGAACGCCTCATGCTTTCTTTTGAGTTATGTTGTGATAGTTTACATAGGAGAACATTAGCTTCACATTGATCCCATCATATATCATTTCCTTGCCATGGTTACGATCCCCTCTATACATCATACACCAACCACAGGGTATACCCTGCAAGTCTTCCCTGCCCCCCTCCCCCTCAGCACACAGGCCCTCTTCCTCTCAGGGTCCAAAGTCCCCAGCTGCTCCATCTCTCCGCATCGTCTCTGCCTCCATCTCTGACATCACTGCTTCTCTGCGTAGGGTTCTGTTCTCGGCTCTTCTCCCTTGATGGTCCCAGACACCTCTGCCCCTAGACTGCAAAGTTAATCCCTCCCCTCCCTTTGCTACAAAACATCCACCTTTACATTTCCAGCCCTTACAATCAGTCCTGATAACAATTATTCACCATTGTATCGCAAGAGACCTATCCGCATCTCCTTTCCTCGCCCCGCCTAGACAGATTGGATACTACTCAGTGGAGATTCTTCCTTCCTTCACGCCCTCTGGATCTAGGTTCCCTCTTGAAACCTTGTAAGCCAGTCACTTCTTGCCTCTCTGCTTTGATTTTTAAGAGGCTTATGTGAAGAGGCTTCCAAAAGTTTGTGGAAAATAACATTATCTTCTAATTCCATTTTTGCATGATCTTTTTGAAACCCTTTTATACAACGATTTGGATGTGGGTCCTTGATGCCCCGTCACCCCACAGGCCCAGAGGTGTGTGGATGGGGACCAGGAGAGGTGTCTTGCTCACCTGTGGGCATGAGGGGGCCATGGTGGGCAGACCCTCAAAGAAGTCAGCCACGTAGCACCAGGTCTTGTCCCTTAGTGTGAGCCGGTCCGTGGTCTGGGCAGCGGGCAGCGGTTTCTTCCTCCTGTTTTCCTCGGCCTCCTCCTTCAAAAGCCGGTTCACGATCTCCAGTCTCCGCTGCTTCTGCTCCTCCTCAAAGGCCCTGGGGAAGGATGCTGCCTCCGATTAGGGAGGCTGTGTGCTGCCCTGGCTGGGGGCATGATTCGGCTCTCCCAGCTCCCTACTGCTCAGACCCAGCCTGGCTCTGCGGGTGGGAAAAGAGCAGTCTTGGTGAGCCCAAGCTCCTGTGGGGGGCAGATGGAGGGAGCCAGGATGCCGCCAGGCTGAGTATCTAGGATCTGAACTCTATCCAGATCCAGCTTGACCCACCCACCTTATACAGTTCTGCCCATTCTAGCCTAGTACCCAGTTGATCAATCTCAACCTGGCATGAGCTGCTTCTACCTCAGGTTCCAAGCTGTGACACACTGAAGGCAGAAGCAAGACTGAAACTGTTCACTCACTCAAGGTCATTCCAGGTCCCTGCCACTGGGCACCTCCCATGTGTTAGCCTGTGCTGAGCTGAGGAACTTTGGGGTGTCAGAGCTTACCCAGAGCCCCTACCCCCAAGGCGGACCAACAGATAGATAACTGCAGAATGTCCAGGGAGTCTAGTGTGGCTCTGTGACTCCTGGGGGCAGACCCACCCCACCTGAGGATGACAACATCACAGCAGAGCTAAGGGAGAAGGAAGGGAATATGTGTAGGGCCTCAGAGAAGCCCAGCATTCAGCGGCTCCAATCCTAAAGGCCCACTATGGGGACACTGGATGATGTGGACAGCAAGGGCTGGGCAGGAATGGGGGACTGGCCAGGTTGAGTCATAGGCTGAGATCAGTCATAAGGCTCCCAGCCCCAAAGTGGGGGCCCAGGGAGAGAGAGCCCCTCATGTCTCTCCATGTTGCCTTTGCACCCTCACCGTTTCTGGGCCTCCAGCTCCTGGCGCCGGCGCTGATGAAAAAGGTGTTTGAACGCATCCCCGCCCTGGGCCAGGATGGCTTCCTTTTCTACCTGAGTCTTCCGCTTGGTTAGCTCAGCCCGGGTATGGCCCCACGCCTGAAACTTGCGGAGTGTTTCCTTGGATACAGAGAACACAGTGGTCACATCATTAGTATATGCATGTGCATGAGCACAGACATGCACACACACACACAGACTTTCTTTTGAACAAGTATCCTTAAATTGATTCTGACACTGTAGATGCCTATGGTGGATTCCTGGTATGGCACTGTAGGATCAGCACAGAACTGTGAACCACAAGGTCGGTAGTTCAAACTCACCAGCTGCTCCTTGGAAACTGACTGAGAACAGTTACCAACAAGAAGGTGGATGTTTGTGGATATTGCCATAATTCCTCACTTTTTCCACCCCTGAGCTCTGTGCCCAAGGCCAGGAGCCCCAGCCCCAGCTCTGACCCTGACCCTCCCTGAGTTAGGACCCTGCAGGGAACCTCCATGTCAAGGGCAGGCTTCCTCTGCAGGCTCTGCCGGCTGCCTGTTTTCATTGCTCTGTTCCTGCCTCCCGTTCCTCTCCTCTTGCCTCTGAGTCCTTGCAGATGCTGTTCACACTCTTTCCATCACACTTCCTAGCACAGGGCCTGTCCCCTGATTACGGGTCTCCCAGCGCCTGGTCCCCCGGTATGCCTCCTCAGGGCACAAGTCTCCTCTATACTGCTAGGCCCCAGGAGAGCAGAGTAAAGCCTGTTCTCTTCCTAGACGGAGCTCAGAAAGTCTGGATCCATCTGGATGAGGGGTTGAGTAAGGGGAGAACATGGCGGGCAGATGGGTGGGCTGGGTGTTGGGAGGGGAGGCCCCATACCCGGTTTGCAGTGATGTTGTTCTTCAACGCCAGCACGGCATCCATGCGCCTCTTCAGATGCTCACGTGACTCCATCTCCTCCTTCTGCTCCCGCTCCCGGATTCTGGAGAAAGGAAGTGCATCTCACGGGGCATGCGCCTGGGTCATACTGGAGGGGCGGTCATTACAGAGTAGGAAGGGCCCTTGGAAGTTGGTGACTGGCACCAGTAAGTTATAAAACATGACCACGGAAAAGGTAAAATAAGAAAGTACTGCGGCTGAACACTAGCTTACAATGAAATGGTAATGAAAATGGATTCTAAGTGCCATTGAGTAGGTTCCTACTCATAGCGACCCTGAATAGGGTTTCCAAAGAGCGGCTGGTGAATTTGAACTGTCAACACTGCTACTCAAACTGACCTGGAGGTCGAGTGCTTATCCTACGGCACCACACCAGGTCTCTAGACTCTAGAGGTTCCTTATATCTTTGGTCTTCTTCTGAAAATATATAGATAGGGGACTTGGCACGCCACACACACATTTACTGCTTTGTGATAATGTGGCATTGGTCTAACAATAGAGCTGGGGAACTTTAGGACAAAAATAAGTGGCCCTTGCTCCCAGCACCTCCCCAAGTGAGTCAACAGGGATGGGTCTGGGTGGGGAGAAGTGGGCACCTGCCCAGGGAGGCCTTCAGGAATTTGATGGCGATCTTGTGGTTCCTCTGGGCGTCCTCCACCAGCTTCTGGTGCCGCAGCCCATGTTCCTTCTGGACATGCACGGATTTCCTACATGGATGAGGAGACCAGAAACAAGAAGTCATGTGACAGCACACAGTGCATCTGCTCCGAAGCCTCTCGCTGTTAGAACAAGTCCCAAGGGCTACAAACATGTTTGGCCCAAGGCAGCTGCTTGCTCACCCCTCAACCTCTGTCCTGTGTTCATGCCAAGGAATGGGGACTGGAGGGACTGGCCTGTGCAGAGCTGGTGTTGTGGACAACAGGACACATGGCAAGTTGCCACTGGGTTTGGGGACTGAGGGACCAAGGCTGGAGCAGGGGCATGGGAAGGGAAGGACCAGGGGAAATAGGACTTAAAGGAGGGGCAGGCAAGCATGAGGAAGGGCTGGGGGCCAGGAGCTGAAGGAGGAGGGAGTCGAGGGAACCAGGTTCCACTCACCGGATCCTCAGCAGCCGGTTCCATTCGGCCTTTCTGAGGGCCATCTTCTCCTCATGGAGCTGCTCGGCTGCCCGAGCCTGGAGGTGCCTCCCACAGGCCGATTCCTCCTCCTTGAGGGCCTTTCGGGATGTGTCCATCTGCCCCTCCAGGATTTCTATGTGCCACATGGCATTCCTTGTAAGCAAGAAATGCTTGTCATTTGTGTGGACAAAGGGGTGGACCAGAACCTTGGAATCCTGGGGCTACCTGTGGAGTAGCCATCCAGGGACTGTTGGGACCCAAGCTCTTGAGTTCTGCATTTGGGTTCCACTGGTGGGTCAGCCTCCTCCTCCCAGAGCTCCGACTGTTTGCAACCACAATTCCAATGTCAGAAAAGCCATTGTCACATCCACTGCAAGTTGGGGTCTATCTGGCTCTGCTGCCTTCCTCAAAGCCATGGCTAGTCTACTTCTTCCACCAATCTGTGGCCCTCCCGCTCCCTGGTCTTAGGACAGCACTCCAAATCTTGAGGTCCTGGGAGCTAATGAATGGATGTCAAAGACCCCATTTTTTGTGTCCTGTGGCCCAGGAAGCACATAGCACTTGCTACACCTGTCAAAAATCAGGGACATTCCGAGTTATCCCTCAGTCAGTACAAGCCCGGGTATGCAGCAACGTGCTCAGCCGAGGGATGGAGAAATCTGCCTGTGAGCTGTCTTCAATCATGCCTTGTTGTTGTTGTTGTTAAGTGCGTTTGAGTCAATTCCAACCCATAGCCACCCCTGTATAGGGTTTCCTGAGGAGCAGCTGGTGAGCTTGAACTGCCAACCTTACAGTTCAAATGGCTTTGCAGTCTGATGCATTAACCCACAGTGCCACTAGAACTCCCCAAGCATGCCTAGCAGTGTCCATTTCCAACATACTTTTAGCGGTGCAAGAATTCCCACCACCTGGAAGGCGATGTGAATTGCCACCTGCAGATGAGCCCATTCATGGTGACATGTACCAGCCCACCTGGAGGACAAGGGCAAGGCCGGAGCTGGCCCCACAGGTGTGATCCCCTAATAAGGTTGGCTGGAGACCTTCCAAAGCACCTCTGTCTCCTTTCCCTCAGAAATCACGTCCAATGTTTGACAGGGAATACAGTTTGCAGTAGATTTTGAGTTGCTGTTCAGGTCAAGAGCCCTGGTGGCAGTGCTCAGTTGCTAACTGGAAGGTCAGAGGGAGGAAGATGTGGGTGTCTGCTCCTGTAAAGATGACAGCCTCGGAAACACTATGGGGCAGTTCTACTCTGTCCAGACAATTGCTAAGAGTTGGAATCAACGTTAATACATTAGGATTGTTAGGTGCCCCGGAGTCTATTTTGACATATACCGGCCCCATGCAAAAGAGCACCAAGTTTTTCTCTTATAGTGCAACTTGCTGTTGTTGTTAGGTGCCATCAAGTTGGCACCGACTCATAGTGACCCTCTGCACGACAGAATGAAATACTGCCCGATCCTGGACCAACCTCACAATTGTTGCCACACTATGCACAACAGAATGAAA